ATTTGGATAGAAGGTGCTTCAAGAAAAGGGACGCTCACCGCAGCTGGGCCCAGGTAGCAGGAAGAACAGGAGCGCTCTCCAGCAGCACCTTGGTACAACTGGAGCACTTCAAAGGGAGTTTGCTTGCCCCTCCCAGGGAGGGAGGGGAAAAGGGAGGCTCAGAGAAATTTACATAAAAACAGGTTGGGCTGCTCTAAATGGCAGAGGGGGTGTGTGTGTGCACAGCCCGGGCAGACATGAAAGGGGGAAGCTCAGCTGGCTAACACACAGGAACATGCACACAGTTAAACAGTCTGAAACTCTCGCAAATCTCAGCACAGCACTGGGGTTTAGCCAAGACTCTTTCTGAATAGCCTAGGTTTTGTCCTCAGCTGCAGGCCAGGGATCAAGGACTAGCTGGTGACAGCAAAGGTGACCAAATGCCAGGAGTTTTTTTTTTAGCTCTGGGTTACTCTCAAAGAGACCACGCTGAAACCTCTCCCACCCACCACACCTGACTTGGGATGGGGTATAGTTACTTTTTAATATGACAGACCTTTTGGATGCATCAAATTTAAAAGGATTTGATTCTAGAGCAATTTTCCTGCATACCTAACATATTCCTCAGTTTTACTTTGGCATGTACCTGCTTCCTGAAATATCCGTTTTCTGAGTTTGCATCATACACTAAACCCTAAACTAATGAAATAGGCTGGATTTGCACAACACAGTGAACCATGTTTTAAAAAAACCCACTAAAGTTAAAGCTAATTCAAGCTTAAAATGTTGCATAAATCCATCCATTAGATCTGACTCATTAAGCATTTTACAAGAACAAAGCCATTTTTTTCCTGTCTGTAAAGTGGGCATAATAAACTGTCCACAGCTTAGTTCTCAGACTTATTACTGCATAGAATTAATGCTGAATACTGCAATAACCTATTTATTAGGCAAGTCCTGAAATATTAAGAATGAGTAATAATTATTTAGTTTTTAAATATGTACAGAATGCTTCAGTGGCTCTTCTGTTTTAAGAAACTGAAACACTGCTTTGGATTAACCCTGTAGGCACCCATTAAAAGAAAGGCAGAGGAGGGGATAAACAGATGAGCTCACCCAGCAGCAGGGTTCAAACAATGCAAGATTTGCATCCCAAAGTCTGCCTTTGTCTGACCATGAAGCTCCAGCTTGCCTCTCTTTATAGACAAAGTGACTGCCCCAGAGAGCGTTTCCCCACATTGATCTCTGAAGACAAATCATCCCAGCATAATCCAGAACTGGGGGAGAGAAAGGAGCTGTTTCTCCTAATAACCCAAACAAGGACAGCTGAAAATCCCAACCCCAGTTCAGTTTTTCTATGTAAGCTTCTGAATTGTGGTACCAATAGACACATATTCACCTCTATTGGTAAGCTTCTGAATGACACAGAAATCATCTTCGGGCCAGAAGTTTAGCAAACAAGAGAGGCTTTGATGATCTGGTAGCTATCTAACCATGGGTTTCCTCTGTATTGCTCATTAGGTTCAATGGCACAGCTAAGTTTTCACATCATCAGCACTGAGAGAGGGTTCTTCTGACAATGGGCGAGAATCTTTGCCTTGCCACTAAGTAAGTATACCCAGGACATGGCTTCAAACCAGCCCAAAAGTTTGGCTCACAAGCACAATAGGTGGCTAAATTGACCTATAATATTTCAGCGCTGGCTTTACCATATGGCTTGTTTGATTCTGGCTTATGTGAATCTAGCCAATGACAATTTATTCAGCAAATTATGGCTAATTATAATCAATTATGTTTATACCTTCAGTTTGAAATAGCTGTCATTTCACAGGTGTAATCACCCTGAAATTGATTAGGCTGATTTTGCAAGCTTAAGGGGGAACATGTTTTTAATAAAGTACCAAATCTATAATTTGATTAACTGGAGGGTTTTGGGGGGGGGGGTGAGGGTTGTTTTTGTTTTGCTTTGAACATCTATACTTGCAAAAAAAGCCTTGGTGGGATTCACCAGCTTGCTTTTCAGATTGACATAGGAAAGATCCATTTTTGTCCTTCCAATGATGACTTGCTCCCCAATGCAAACTACCAGGTAACCCCTTCCACACCTGCTTCCAGTATTTCCTGCCTGCCCACACACCCCACCCTGCTGGCTATCATCCTAAACTGTCATTAAGTGGCTGTTTACTGCCCTTCCCAGACAGTTCTCGCAATCCTCTCCTGCCATCCAGCCATTGCAGAAGAGGTAAGATGCAATAGTAGGACTTGCTGCTCAGTGTGAGCTTCCTTAGGCTCAGAGGATGAGATTACTCAAGACAATGTTTGCTCGTGACAAATACATACTTTTGGAAGCTGTCTCAAGGCTGTGCCACTGTGTCCTTGGCTTCTGTCTTGGCCATCTTGTGTTTGCTAATATTTTTGGGATGGGCAGCAAATGGGGGGAGAAGGACTGGAGAATAACTCAAATCTTTTGTAAGAATATCCCTACCCTATGATAAGTTCACACACATGCAAGTTTACACCATCTAGATCAAGCTGACCTAACAGGGTCTCCCCAAGAATCCTGTGAGATAGCCATCTGCTTTCTACCCAACCCGAATGAGGCATGAACAACCTTTGACTGCAATGCCCATCATTCTCCAGCCAGCTGCAGCAGGGATGATGGTTAGGGGTGACTATTAGGAGATCAAGTCTTGGGATGGAATTATGATAGGAAATAGCACAGCATGTTGCATAAATCAGCCATTGCAGCTTGCAAACCATGGTGTGCATTTAAAGGTATTTATCCATAAACCATGATTAAACAAACCATGCATTCTAGGATTTCTGGGGGTACTAATTCCAATGTATTATGACAACAACAGGTAGGGGAAAGGCTGCTCTAACTCTAGCTTGTGAAAGCTGGATGCCTAAGGCCTGCTTCTAATTCTATGAGTTTATCTGGAATTCCAACCAGTAGTGAGAGGTCTTCATGGCCAATCTCAAAAAAGTGAATCAGGATCAGACCTCACTGATACTAGAATGGGAGATCACCAGAAAAATCTCAGGGAAAACTTCTTGGACATATCCAAGAAGCCCCTAGGAGTCAAGCTCAATTTGAAGGAGAGTTTACTTTTATATGAGAACAGCAGAAATTTTGGAAGGTAGCATTCCCCATTTTTACTCCCTTTAGCTAAAAAAGGATGGGAGATTGTACCAAATTTGGGGACAAGAGTTATCGGGCTCTGAATTAAACACAGTGTTGGATAAAGAGCCTATTCTCACCCCAACATATGCAGCTGTGTTTTGGTACATGTACGAAGTGCCTTTCCTTCATTCAAAAACAACAGCTATGTGTAGCTATTCAATAAACTACATATATATTCTCCCCCTTTTTTCTTTGCTGACGTGTTCTTCCCTCCCTCTATTGCCTCTCAGGCTCAAAATTCAACCTCTACATTCTTTAGGCAAGGATAACTTTATTCTTAGTTTCCATTCTTCCAAATGCTGTACAGTGAGGGTCCAAAATACAAAAATAATAAGGGTAATAACAAGCCAGACATTTCAATCAAGGTTTCCAGAAAGCTGGAATGAATGGCTAGAATCACCCAAGGCAGTAATAATAGCTTAACCACAGTCAGCTGAATAAGCCACAACTGGTTGGATCTGCAAAACAGATTCAGCTATAAGCATAGTTTGCCTTCCACAATGTCTGGATCGACAGAACATGCTGAGCCACAACTAAACTAACCAAATGATGGCTTAGTGCATGGTGTGTGAACTCGGCAAAAATGCATCTGTCTGGAGATCTCCTGTTTAAGTTTCCACCTGAATGGGCACCCCTCACTGGATGTTTCAAAGGGCTAGTTGGGGATGATTTAGTGGATTCCTGCACTAACCAGGGAGTTGGGCTAGATGACCTCTAAGGTCTCTTTCCATTCATACCTTCCACGAGAATGCCATCCCAGTCAGCAGGTCCAATTTCCCAACCTCCTCCTGGAGCTTACAGCCCAAATACCGTCATCTCCATTCCTAGCTCCCTCCCAAAGCCATCATATATGAGGAATGCCCCCACTCTCGAGACGTCACACTTTTCTGTCTGGACTCATTACAGCAGTAAACAATTATCTCTCCTTTCCAAACAGAATAGAAAGGCATGAGGGAGGCAGATGAACATATAAGCAAGCTCACCCAAATTGAGAGCAAAGGGCAGCAGGGGAAAACAAGATAAAATAGATAAATTGTTGCTCTGGACTCTTGGAGCCAGCTGGAACAATTCCATTAATGCCCTTTTTCCCCCCCACGTAAATCTGATTCAGGAGAAACAGAATTGCAGATGGATCCAGGAAAGCCAAGTGGGTCCCACAGGTTGAGTTTACCGAGACCAGCTAGCAAGCTGCATTCACAAAACATTCTCAACTTGCTTAGTTTCAACCTGGGCTACCTTCTGTGGTTTGACATGTTGTATGAACCCACCCTGTTTGGTTAGTTTATGGTTAACTGTACAGTATAGACCAGAAAATGGGGTAATTCAGTAACCATATTAAGTATGTTGTACAAACCCACAAATGGAATGCTAAGCTCTAACAGAGGTTTTGGTTTAGGCTTAGCATTTTAGATTAATTCAGCCAGTTATGATTTGGCTTAGCCCTGAATCTATTTCTCCATCAAGCTCAGGATTGTCTATTCCAACAAAAGAGCCATGGTTTAGGGAGCCATGTGGGCCTAGCATGGATAATGCAAAGTTGGATGGAGGAATAGATTCAAGGTTAATGAATAAGCCACAGCTGGCTGAGTTTGCAGAAAATTGCTTAATGCAACGAACCATTCTGGTATGCAAAGCATGCGTTCATCCACTGAAACTTTTCCAAATCAATTTCTTTTAAAATACCAAGTGTACAAAGCCAGGGATTAATCCTGGTGGCAGAAAAGTCATACACTCTACACATGCTCCAAAGCATTCCTTTACATCTCCCAAGCCGTGAAAATGGTGCTGGAGGTCCTGGGTCTTGGAGGGAAGAAACACCTGCCCCACCCACCCTCACCTGCCAAAGCCTTGATACGGGAGCGCTCAAAAAGTCGGGCTGAGCTGTTTTCATTGTCCCAGTCTTCATCAGCCACCTCCCAGCGGTTATTGATATCATTGTACTGTTGCTGGATTTCCAAGCTGTCATAATCGGTAGGGGAAAGTGTGCTGCTCATGGTGATTTCAGCAGGAGGTAACCTTTGCCTGCAGGGAGAAAAGGGGCAGAGTCAGGCTTATTTGCTTCTCTCCTTCCGCCAAGCAACAAATAATTTGTCATTTAATCTATTCATTAAAAAAAGACTGAGGTCTAGCTTATTGTTACATGCAAAGCTAGCCACTCTGACTTATTCAAGATACCACAATTTAACAAACCATGGCTTGGCACGATATCCAACCCATCAAGGGGCAACAGTTCTCCAGGGCTTTAGGCATCTGGCCTCATACCTGAAAACTGAATCTGGGACCCCCTGACTGACGCTCACCTACGTTCTCTCTTTGACTTACGACTAAGATTGAGGTGCCACCACACCACTCACCAAGAGGGCACAAAAACATCCCAAGGAAAAGCCAAGGCTGCTGGATTTTCTGCTCAGTGGAGAGCAACCCTTTTGTCCCAGAGATGCTCTCATCCATTTGCTCCAGACAGGCCTCGTTTGTCACGGCTCCACCACAGGAACATCCAGCCCTGCTAGTGATGCTTTCCCCAGGGGAGCACCGCAACCATCTGGTTTCCTGCTTCTCTGGTCTTCCTCAAGATGATGGACGGCCTTGCTGTGTCGCAGTCGCCTCTTCCACCCCACCCACCTAGTTCTTCATCCTAGGGTTTCTGTTCTGCCTTGGTTCCAGCTGGATAGTCTCTTCAGATTTCCCAAAAAAGGCAGATGCATTGCAAAGCTCTATAGCACTTTTTTTTCCTAAAGTTGCTTCACATGACCAAGTTTCATTTTGCTCCCTTGAACTAGTTTTTTTTTAACCATAAAAATTTAAGTGTTATTACAGCATAGGGAATGTGCAACAGCCAAAATGATTAATTAGGGGGGCAGACTTTCTCAATAAGCAAGAAGATTGAATACCAAGTTGGCAATACCTTTGTTTTATTTTAAGGCACAACTTCTCTAGACTGCTGCTTGCCAAATATGCTGGCATATAAAACCCTTGGCCATGCTTATAAACCAACATGTCTGAGCACACACACATTATATGTTATATTAATTCCCCATGATATTCCTCATATCATGAACTGTAGCAAAAAGAAAAAAAAATGTGTCTAATTCAGAAGTCCCGCCAAAGAGGGTGGTCTTTGCCATCTTTTTCCTCCAAGCTGCAGAGAAAGGGTAGATCTGAACTTTGAAAATCATGAATGAGCACTTTTATTTTATTTATTTCATTACATTTGTTATGGCTGCCCACTCCAATAGACTCTGAGCGGCTTCTTTTCTAGCTCAGTATTCTGTACAACGGATAGGAAGCTGTGGCTCTCCAAATGTTGCTGAACAGCAACTCCCAGCATCCCTCTGGCCATGCTGGCTAGGACTTCTGGAAGTGTAGCTCTACAAGCAGGTCCTTTGCAAAATCAAACGTTATGTAGCTCACCAGAAGGAATATAGTGCAGATTAGCACTATCTCCCTAACTATCAGGACTCCGCCAGTTCCTTAATGCAGAGATCTTCAATCTGGTACCTTCCGAACATGTTGAAGCACAACTCCCATCATCCCCAGATACCCAGTGGACATTCTAGTTCATGGCTGCTTCCAAAAATGCTCTTTAAGCTCAAACGTCCCATATGCACATCTATATGTGTTTGTACCTGTATACTGGCCTCTAATATTTATGATGTCATTTTACTGCAAGCCAGCAGTGCCAAAAATCTGGCAGCCACATCGAATTTTGGAGGGGTGGGGAAAAGGCAGACTCTGAAGTTAACAATATGATCCACGTTGAGTCTTCAGGCTTTTGCCAAGATGCAGCTATGGGATGGTGCCCTGGTGTCTGCAGCTCTGTGCTAAGGAGGGACATCCATCAATGCCATCCTTTCCAGAGACCAGTGGCCCATTACAGTTGGCACTACAAACAAACAGGCAGATAGAACCCAGGTTGCTGCAGGATCTTGGCAGGCAGCCTTCAGCATGGAACTTGGTGTATGCCTCTTTCAGTGCTAACTGGATCCCAGACCAGAATGAAGGTCTCAGAAAAGATCCAGCAGTCATCCAGGTTGGAAAACAAATCTAAGAGCAAACATCAGTTAAGCATTTTTTGAGAAGTTTGATCTCAGTCTTTTAGCTGTATTTACCAAGTAGGTCCTTCTAGACAGTTGTGGGCCTGAATACTGAATGTTTAAAATCTCTCTTTCTGATTACAAATATCGGAGAGAGTACCAATACTTATATACTTCCCCTGCTTTTTTTAAGTGCCTCCTGTGTGGCTGTCCACTTTTTTTTGGTACCTTATCATGCTGTTTCTTTTCAGTGCTTCGTTGATGAGAAAAACAGATTTTTACTTTTCAGCAGGTCATTGAGAAATATGCAAATGTGAGGAAGTTTATTGTACATTTGTTGATTTGGAAAAAGCATACGATAAAATGCACCAGCGTAAATTAGGGAACCTTTGCATAAATAAGGAGCTGAAGGTTGCTTGCAGAATGTAATAAGAGCCTTATAGCATGGAAATAAATCAAGCATGAGAATATGAAAGGCTTGTTGAAATACTTCAATAATGAGCAGGGAGGAAGACAAGGATGTGTAATGTCTCCTTCACTGTTTAATATATTTGTTGTGATGTTGAGGTGTGTTGGTTGAAGACATGAATGTATGTGTATTTTTATATGCAGATGATGTCCTGTTGTTAGCTGAGAACCTGAGAATTGCAGTGAATATTACTATTGCATGATGCATCAAAGAATATGGATCTGAAAATTAATGTAGTTGTGTTTGACAAGGCAAACAGAGCAAACGAATGCTAGTTATACATAATGGCAAAGAAACAGAGCAAGTAAACAAATCTGGTAGAACTTCTAGGTAAATGAAGAAATGTTAAGATTATACAAATGTTGATAGAAAGGTAATGGGTAGTAAATAGTTTCTTGCAAGAAATGAATGTCAGTTGAAAGAAGCAAAAATGATGGTGTTTAAGAGCGTGTTTCTGCCCAATTAGTTATATGAAAGTGAGAATTGGGTATCTTGGGGAGAACATAAAAATAAGTTAAATGCACTGGAAATGCTAGTTTAATGTGATGATGAAGGTGCTGGACTAGAAACTGGGAGACTGTGAGTTCTAGTCCTCCCTTAGTCATTAGACCCAGCTGAGTTACTTTGGGCCGCTCACTTTCTCTCAGCCCAACCCACCTCACAGGGTTGTTGCTGTGGAGAAAATAGGAGGCAGGCTCATTGAGTTGTACAAAATAAAGGCAGGATATAAATGTAATGATACATACATTTTAAAAAATAAAACTTGGAAATGAGATATTGAAGAAATATACAAAAGTGAGTGTCCAGTAAAAAAGCCTGAGGTGGTTTGACCATACAGAGAGAATGAACAAGGATCAAATTGTGAAACAAATATATGAAGGAACAGTGGGTGGAGAAGGGGAACACTGAGAAAGTTGTGATTGAATGGATTTGGTGAGAGCTTCAAAAAGAGAGAGGTGAGAAGTTTAAAGAATATAAGGCATTATATGAAGCAGCATATGGACCTGGTGAAAGCAGGGATGGTTTGTATGAATAAAAAAGTATGGAGCGGACAGTGAATAATGTTGGTGTAAATTAGTTTTAACTATGTTTCCTTTTCTTATCTTAAACCTTCAGTTTTTTTGGCCTACTATATTTTTCTTTTTTTCTGCATTCTGCATAAAGTTGCTTACCATGGAAGAGAATAGTATGGTGGGTGGGTATGGATATATGCTTTGTGAATATATTTTCTATTTAAATAAAAAAGCCCCAAAAGATGAGGAACTGTTGTCCTTTAGCAGGACTCTGCACAATTTGTCCTCTAACCTTCCACTGTTTGATCTCCCCTCTCAGCATATCTCAGACTCCTGCCTATCCAACGTTTTAACCCAAGAATCTTAACTGTAACCAGCTTGGTCAATTGATAAGGCTGCCCAATAAAACTGTCAACTGGAGGCTGCCAATTCATCTAGCTTGCAGCTTCTTCATCTGTCCCCTCTAAGCAAGCGAGCTAAGACAGGAAAAAAGGAGGAGGAACTGCATTAACTTCCTTTGTCCCCTCTCTCTATGACAATAGTCAAGAAAAAACAACGTTCAGTTTTCTTCTCTTCCATGATAACTCGATTAAACCTCGAATTTTCAGTACGAAAGCAAGCTACAACTATTCCCATTCACTTTCTGGGTACAGAAATATTTTGAAGTCAAAGCTAACTGAGCCCAAATAGAATTCTGTCAGCCCTTTTTGGAAATGTCTAGGATAGAAACCATGTGATGCTGGAATAAGCTGTTCTCATTCTTACCCTGTCTTTTCTCACTGGACCGTTGTGATCATGGGAAAAAAGTAATCAGGGCAAGAATTATTTTTTATTTGTTGGATTTCTCCCCCGCCCATCTCCCCCACAAAAAGGGGACCTTGGGGGCCTTCAAAAAAAAATAAAAATATAAAAATATATAAAAAAAAAAAT